TCGTTTCTGTGCGACAAATATCGATGTTAAGTACATGTAAGCTATCAACGTAAGTTTGGAAAATTCGCAAATTTGTATCAGCGGCATGCACATTTGATCATGTTTTGGCCCTTTGTAAAATTTTTGAAAATGTTAGAGTAAAAACGGTAGCAGCTGTTGCGTAGAAACCGTTTTATGGTTTCATCATAATTTTAGAGTTCAACTGAAACCCAAGCTTGGTCAATGTCTATTTATAACATGACATTATATTTTATGGACATGTACGGGGTGCCAGCTGAACTTTGATCATCAACTTGTCTCTGATAAAAGGAGGGTTTTAGTCCTTAAGTTGCAGGTAGGGAATCAATGTTGATGTGACATGATAATATTGTTGCACAGAGTTGATGAACTGTGGAGTAAAGTTCACTTGTATACCTGGTTAGCTATGGTGTATTTAATGGTAGTAGTTAAAGATTGGTCCACAAAGAAATTTGACAAACTATGTAAGTTAACTTACCAAATTATATACCAAATCATGAATACAAATTAGACAAAAGTTTTAATAATATTCCCCCCTTATAATATCGATAGTTCAGAATCATAAAGTATGAATTATAACTCTCCCCATGTACATTTGACACCTTGAGGTAACATAAAAACGGATTCATCTAGTGGTCCACTTTCTATAGACAAAAACTCAAACAACTCAGTTTCAACATACATCCTGCAAAAAACAAGATCAAACATTGTTAATATACCGAAAAAAAGCATGGCAGTGTATATTCAAAAACAACTCCAGTTTAAAGAATTAGGTGAAGTACAGAAGAAAAAAAAAATACCATTTATTTCTAAGACCAAGATCCCGAAATTAAAACCATTATTCGAGGTTCAAAGTAGATAATAGCATACAAGTAATTAATTTCTTTTTTTCAGGGGGTTGTTTTTGTTTTGTTTGTTTGAGTGTGTGCTTTTTTGATTATTTCAAGTTTTTTTTAGATGGGTTATAATGCATATTTACATCCTATAGTTATGTATAGCTCATTCAAAAACAACGGTGAGATTTCATTAATTTGTCGACATTTTTTTACAATCATTTCGAATGTTTATCCTAATGTTGGATGACAAATTTAATTTCCATACTAGAGATAGCACTTACTTATACGGCAGACCTGTCTCAGTGTGAAAGAAATAGTCCAGCGTAAAGAGGAAGTATTCTGCTTTCCAATGGTCAAATGTTGTAACGTTATCACGTGCTTGTCTGACAAACTGTATCCCTGGTAACAGAGGGTTTGGTGGAAATGTTTTTGGAATCTTCCTGTCAACAAAAGATATATGACCATCAAATACGAATTAAGAATGCAAGTGCTTATTAAGTTTAACTGTGTTTGAAAAAGGCGTTTCAAATAAAATAGCACATGAGTTATAGTAAACCTGGGCTAGCCATAAATACAACAATATGATAAATAAAAAATTACAGAAAAAAACAATTGTCACAATAAATCGTAGGCTCGTATCACAAAATTCCCGTCAAACAAATTAATGAACACACCAAAACAACCTGAATGTTACAAATGTACAAGCTACAATGTATTTTACGTGTTATGAAATCTAATCGGAGGTACAGTTGTCGATATTTGAATGTAAGAAGGCATACTTTCTTTTAACAGCAGATTGAATACTTTGAGCATACTTTTAACAACTGTGAGCTTCTTTGATAAGTTAGAACTTAGAAAAGTTGAAATTGTTACTGATGTTGTTGTATCTGTGAACCGATACCATAGAGTTATGTGCCTTTACTGAGCTTATTCATATGGCATGTTCTTCTGAGCAAATTCTTATTATACGTTATTCTATGTACCTTAGTTTTTTCCATTGCTAAATATAAAAAAGGGTGATAATTGACTGCTCACAATCAGTGCCAATAACCTGTCCTGGGTCAGGAAAAGTGTAAGTGCTTGCTTTTGTAACTATCCGATAGTTTTGTTTTCACTTATTTTTGTCCTTCAACAGTTCTAGTCGGTTGCAATACTTAATAGTGTCTGTATATAGACTCGGCCGTTTTAGAGCTTGGCATGTTTCATTGACACTGGTATATTATTTTATATTTTGACCTCTAGATGTCTTTTCGTGTTTGATTGTGTTCTTACATTGATGTCTCGTTGACATAAATCCAACGTCCATTTTATTTATAGTATACTTTTGTAGCATACTTTTGCAATGAAAATAATACTTTATAAAGTTGGTGCGTCCGAAGCACTTTTCTGGATTTGCCTTCATCAGGAATGCTCACAAGTTACAAGTCACGTGCGCTAAATTCACTTGTATACTCGATTGCTGTACAGTACATCTGGTGGCAGTTGTACTAGTATTTAAAATTAACAGTACATACATAGCTGTACACTTGACATATGGTGGGTCTGGAGTCGGGAATATATTAAACTGAAGTCCTTGGCTGTAGTGGTACAGGTACATGTACAATGGTTCACCAAGTTTATCACAGGCATACTCGTCATCCGTATCGAGGAGATATGTCATATTAGATTCTGGAAAATGAAAAACGATTTCGTTAGTTTTTTGCGCTATAATAAAGTTCATCACCGTAAAATGGTAAAACAACTGAACACTGAAATCTTTTGAAAATCTTTAAAAATGTATTAGTTTTTTGTCTTCATCTTATTCATTATGTATCTATATGTGTATCTTACGAAGCTATCGAATGGAAAACGTTATGGCACACCTTTAGAATTTTTTTTTGTAGAATTACAACGTCGGAAATATATGTTTTTATGTCTTTTGTTTTTCATTTTTATTTTTATGTTAACTCAATTATCAATAAATATTCCGATAAGATATATCCTTCTTCAGTATCAGTTATTGTGTACCATTTTGTTCAAAACGTGTTATTATTGATTATTCACTTAACATATCGATTATCCGATATCTTATCAGTTAAATAACCACTATTTTTAATGGTTAACCGGCAATAATTGTCGGTTAATCGCTATTTTTTAAATCAAATTAACCTTTTCATTTTTTGTATGTTATTAAAAAATTGCGGTTAACCAATAAAATAGCGTTTAACCGATAAAAAAATACTAATTAATCACAAATTTTAAAATGAATAATCAGTAAATATAAATTTTAAACCAAATACTACACCATAATCAGTAAATTGGTGTAAAAATTGGAAACGATTTAAATATGAAATAAATGAACGATTAGTTATTTCATGTACAGTTTCATTTCAAATTCTAAATATTCTTTCATAAGAATGTTTCCTTTCTGTTTGATAGATTTCGACCACTGCGTATGAACTTTTTTATTTTTGATAAATTACCAGAAGGGACACCATAACTGTCTAGCCTCATCCATTCGTTGTGAGAATCAACATACCACCCAGTGGTTAGAAACTCGCGTGTTGACTGGAAACGTACGCATGCCTGAAATAAGGAAAACACATCATGACTAGTATATGCTAAAAATAAAGAAAAGGAAAATGTTTCCATGTGTTAAAACAGAATTAGTGAATAGAAGATACAGATGAACAATTAGTAATAAAAAATACCGAAATGGTGATAAATGAAAGATGAGGAAATTTAATACTGTTTTCTCTTTTCGAGATCTTTTCTCTCTCTTTTGCTATTTCTTGTTTTCACAATGAGTTTGATACCTTGTAGACCTCCGGCCATTCTGGAACGTTGGGAGACCAATATTCAGAAGAAGCTGTGCATACGTGTAATATCAATACATAACTTATCCATCGAATATCCATTATTGTTTATGTTTATAATTACTTTATCTTGTCTGTACTTTGTACACAATACTCATCATAAAATTCACTACGTATCTATATAAAATATTTTTGTCGCTACCAATACATATTGCCTTGTATTGAGAAAGCTGAGATTAAGCCGTCAGGCAAAGTTGACCTTAGGGTAATTTGGCTATTTTTACGTCCTTTTTTATCTTATACTATAGCTCCTAACATTTCGAATTTACACATCCCTGACTTTCAAATGTTTTTATGGGCTGAACTTTTCTGTTGAATTTAAATCACTACGGACGCACGTAAATTATAAGGCGGTTTTTTTTTATATTACCTCTTGGTATTTTCTTCCTTTTAAAGTCTAAAATAGGGGTCGTTTGCGTCTTGCTCTCAGGGGCATAAAAGACACAACACCAAAACGAAACCAAACAAAAAAAGACATTTAAGGGACCATAGTTGTCCACAATGGATTGGTGTCTATACAAAATGTCAAGCTATAAATCATACCAAATCTAAAACGGTTGTGAAAAATTAAACAGAAACAACCAAAGACTGATTTTTTTTGGGGGGGGGAGGGGCAAACTTGTTCTTTGTTTATATCTCACCCACCAATTCCCTTTGAATCTCGACCAGTTGACAAGCAAAAGGTCTAGTCCTATACTATAAGCATTCGTAGGTCCATATCGTTTGCTTTTAACATTTTTTTTATCGTATATTATTTTTACTATCAATGCTGTGCCACGAATCTGCATTGATTGTAAAAAAAATCTGATAAAAAATGTTAAAAGCTAACGATGTGCACGTATATTATAGGGCTTGCAAAAAGGTTCATAAAAGAACATACAATCAACACATTACTGATCTGCTGCTAAAATATAGTGAGTATTGGAGTACATTAGATGTACTATAGTAAAGTCAGTCAGACTAATTTATTAATGACAAAATGTAGTTGTTCTTGTTAACAGAGCTGATGTTTATCGTCAACATTGCATGTGTAGGCTAACAATTTCCTGTTTACTGCTTGCATTGCTTGCAAGAAACAAGACGGAAACTAGCACTCCGCCTGCTGAACATATATCCGTACTACGTAAACAATTTATAATTAATGAATTTCTGTACATTCATTGAAAAGATATGTACCAGGTACAGACTAAAATGACAAATGAAGAGATTGGTCTACATCATTCATGACACGTTTCAGGGAAAAAAGGCCAACGAATTAATGTTCGTCTTGTTAACATAAATGTTACGAACATACACACTTGGATATGTAAAAGGATGCGTGGGTTTTTCTGATTACTCGAGAATGTGTAATGAATAGTAAAAAAAAGTAGGAAATTGTCTAATTTTAGTAATTTCGCACATGACCTTTTTATTGACATCAATGATGAGTATGCATGTCTGAAATTTGTTTACGGAATTCAAAACGTATATAAATAATTGTTCAACTTTCTTAGGACATAACTTCAACGGCAATCAAGCTACACTACTTTTACTAAACTAAGACTTGTGTTTGTAACTACCGTCAAGATGAAAGTAGCATTTACTGTATGTTGTCTCTTTGCTGTTGTTTACTATTGCCATGGAGCTTGTTGGGTAATACCTCCTACATCAGGTACAGTTATTTATTTTTTATAAAATGATTATTCATCAGACCGGTATTAACATCTCCTCATTGAATAAGTAAAAATAAAAATATGGGATATTATTTTTCTACATCACTCTATACTAAGGTACTGTACTCGTTAATCTGAACAAAGTGCACGATTGCTAAAAAAATCTATATTTCTGTGAATGTTTACACAGTACACTTTAGTCACTTACTCATCGTTAAAAATTTTCCTCTGGGTTTCTTTTCCAATATGAAATAAAAAAGAAATGTTAGTTTAAACAATATATTATTTTTTCGAAAGTGCACAAATTACAGTGATTAAATAGAAATACAGGGATTCGGAAACAAGGAAATTTTATATAAAATCAGTTTCCCTTAACAAGAGGACAACATTGGGAATATAGTGTAAAGAAACACGCTATAATATAACTTACAATTTTACATTACATGTTTATTCTGTGGTTTGCCAATTAAACTCAGAAGTCAGATTGATCAAAAGATGTGGTCAACCCATATCTAATTGTGGTATTAGCTGCGAATATGATATGTGTATAATTGTGGTCCACAAAATAAAGAAAAGTTGGTACCACTTAAAAAAGACTGAGTGTTGATTATATTACAATATACAACGAGACAGTTGACAACGATGATATTAACCATGATCACATGTTAATTATTTCGAAATCTCATGAATACATTATTTTTAATTTAAATTTCGACAAAACTATCTGTTTATCTGTTTCAAACATTTCAATTTGTATTTCAGGTCGGAATAACGTGTATGAAACATGTTTCTTTGCTGGTGAAATAATGTATCCAGGTTCTACAATTACAAGGAACTGTGTGAGTTGTTACTGTGGACATTCAAGTGGCGGATATCTCAAATGTTGCTCGTACGTATAAATTACATTCATTGTTTTTGTTCAATTAAAAATTGTCTGATCTGGTATCGTGTGAAATAATTGCTATTCGGTCTAAAATCATACTAGTTCTTTAGTTGCAAGAAATCCTTAGGCACAGTGTCCATAGGTTACTGCTTTGTATATCCTAGATGCCTAGATGTGAAAAGTGTTAAGTCTCCTCGGTCACTATAAACACATAAAATGTTGTATATGAATTTAAATAAGACGTCAGGTCGTTGGTAGTGATACCCATTACATTTTTGTTTTTTTTTTTAATTTTTTTATGACTGACAAAAAAGAACAAATAGGGTATAATTACCAATAAGCAACCCAACAATCCAAACAAATCAAGTATTTCTGATGATTACAACAACATATGTACTTTCTTATGTATAAGTAAATCTGGGTAAATCATGGGATAGTAACCAAATCATAACAGAGAGAAAACCAAAAGATATCTGTTAATATTATCCCGTACTCCATTTAAATTTTTCCATTGTTATATATTGATAAGTTATTCATTTCTTTTCTTTTGTGTTAATCACATAAAAATGTCTATCTCTCCTTAAATATCTCTTAATTGTGGTAAATCTTAATATAATAGAAACAAATGTCTTAAATATCTTAAATCGATGCTTGCAAAGAACAGTGAATTAAATACAAAAATAAGTCTTGAGCTGGTTCATTCTTTTTTTGTGAAAAAGAAAGTTATAAAATGGACGCTCTTTTATTTCAGAGTCGGAAATAAAGTTAAAAAAATCCCTGACGACTGTAAAAAGATAGTATCTCCCGATGGTTGCTACGAACACGTTGTTAAAGTATCAGACGAAAGCAGCATTTGTGACCATGGTGTCGCTATGGTAGGACGATGATGAAGACCTATGATGATGAAATCCAAACTTCTCAGGGATAACATTGGAAACAAGTAGCCGAGCCGAGTTATCGGTGACGCGAATTTGGCCAGTGGTGTCGTTTCCAGTAAATCTTTTTTCTACAAATATATTTATTCGTACACATATATGTTGTTCTCTATATTTTTTATATGGATAGAAAGAAATATGTGGTATACACCAATAAGACAGCATCCCAACACAAAAAAAATATATCTATATATGTCAAGTTCTAAATTGCCAAAAAAGTCTTGAAATAAATTAAATTGAGATTATGAAAGATCTGACATTAACACAAAATTCTTCAAATGAAAAAAAAAAACATTTAGATTATGGCAACAGATAACAACTGGCGAGAACCCTGACTTAGGACGGGTAAATAAACACGTGGTATGGTTCAACTACTCTTTTCAGAACTCAAAAAGGGATAATGTACCAGGCGGATAAAAATTCCTATTCAGAAGAAAAACGGACAACACAATAGTAAAATGGAAAAAAAAAATGAACGGACAAAAGAGTTCACCAAAAAATAACTTTTTGGAATTTTGGGTCCTCAATGCTCTTCAACTTTATACTTGTTTGGCTTTTCAACTTTTTTTTATCTGAGCGTCACTGATGAGTATGTAGACGAAACGCGAGTCTGGCGTATAAAAATTGAATAGTTTCATGCACATTTTGTTATGTCGAGGCCTTTTATAGATTACCATACGGTATGGGTTTGGGTTGGGTTTTGCTCATTGTTGAAGGCCGTATAGTGCCCTATAGTTGTTAGAATCATCGACCTTTGGTCTCTGATGGATACTAGTAGTTGTCTCATCGGCAATCATATCATATCTCATTTTTTAAAATAACAAGCATGTTTGCAATCAAACCAAAAGCATCTTATGGTGTCAGTTTCAGAGATTGGTTTGTTTGAATCGGGTTGGCTTTTACAAAATATGTCTTGTCCGTTCTAAAAGAAGACATTTGTATCTACGTCGGTCCATTTTTTCATGAAACAAAGCTGGATAAGTTCTTTCATGTTGTCTTTAAGTTAGAATGAGGAAAACTTGTGTAAAGAGTAGAGCAGTGAACTATTTTATAGTATTGTTGTACCCTCCCCTTTTAATCAGCAGACGAACAAAAGGCACATAAAATAATACTCTATAAAAATCAGAAAAATAAAGTACTTGACTCCCTATGCTCGAATGGTCGTTAGCTTGTAGTTCTTTTTTGACATCTCTTATATGTATTACTTAAAATGGACATGCATACGCGTGCGGATAAAATGAATTAAGTTACTTTATATAAGAATTTTGAGTTGGTAGATTGATTGGTTGATCGACCGACAGCAGTTGGACGCCGAATGAGCAAACTAAACGAACTAGTTAAATACTGCTAAAGCAACTTATCAATCTTGTTCTGAGGTTATGTTTCATTAAGATATCCAAATAACTCAGTGCCCAGATATACAACAGCAATTAAAGTAATTTTTATCAATTCTGCCAAGAGAGAGAGAGAGAGAGAGAGAGAGAGAGAGAGAGAGAGAGAGAGAGAGAGAGAGAGAGAGAGAGAGAGAGAGAGAGAGAGAGAGAAGTTCTGGATACCAAATTTCACTTCTTTGGTCTCTCCAAAAATCCAAAAATCAAAACTTTAAATTTTTATTGCACAGCAACAAAAAAAGAAGAGCTATTTACTATAACAACATACTTTGTAACCAATCAAGGGACTAAAGGGAAAACATTTTATTTGTGAAAAATTAAATTCAATAAATCTTTAAAAATACTAAACAAATACAAGCAGTTTTGTAGTTTGGCAGCTTTAAGACAGTTTAAAATTTATGATTTTTTTATTAAAATTTAAGAAAGGACTAAAAAGTGGCTACCTATAAAGTGCAAAACAAAATAAAAACAGAACCTAACGAAACGAAACGAAATTTACCAAAACGAAACGAAACACGACAAAACAAAAAGTAACGAAATATGACGAAACAAAACGAAACGAAATATGACGAAACATAACGAAAAGAATATTTTTTGAAAAACTAAATATTATATAAAACAATAGGCTAACTTGTTTGATCTACAGGGAATTACTTAAAAGACCTGAATTTGACACACCTTGATTGTCTAAATAAATAAACTATATGCAGAAATTACTTGTCGACCTTTAGATTACTAGTACTGCTCTCAATGTGGTTGTTAATTGTATATGTCTGTATATTTGACTCAGATACCTCCACGAGGGGTTTCAATAATGGTACATTTTTTAATAGCGAGTAAAATGGCGAATAAAAGGAAACGGGATATGTCCTTTTGTATTAAGGGATAGTTCAGTATTTGTTATTTGCACCTTTGTGAGTTATCGAACCACAATCAACTCTGAGAAAAACTCATTATAAATGAGCTTACACATAGTAGGTATAATGAGCGGCCTGGATCGTGTTTTTTTCGAGTGATTTAATCGGGTTTTATCGAGAGTGACCACGTTTTTTGGAGTGAATATGATAAAACATGTTTTAAAACAAACAAACTTTTTTTCTTGGAAGACGTAAAAAAAGATGATAGAACCTAATATACAAGATCGTACAAGGTAAATAAGTATTTGTGATGAAAAGATATTATCAACTCTACATTATTCAAAACAAAAGTTTAATTCAGCCTTACGATGCCAAGTTTATTCTAAAATGTAGATTAAAGCCATTTCTGTTCACATACAAATGCAAATTACAGAGGAAATGCATACATGTAATCTATATATATACTTAGAAATACAGACACTTTACAAAAATTCTTGTTATTGCATTGATACGGTCATTTTGGAAAGTATATTCATCTTTATATATCCATGTATTTTTCGAGAGCAGTCTGTGTTTTTTTTCGAGTGCGTCCAGTGTTTATCGAGTGAAAAAAATTCCACTGGCTTAAATTGTAATATGTCGGTGCATTTACATTAAAAAAATTCAATTAAAGTACTTTTTCAAAGCACGAAGAAACTAATGTATTAAACAGTTTGATAATGCTTTATTAGCACGTATTTTTCATAAAAAAACATCGTTCATTTGTTAATATTGTTGTTAGCCAAGTCTTATAAATTACATGGACACCAGCATATGTATATTTGGAAAGATCAAACATGTATGCGCCCAAGTAATGACTGTTCACATCATGCAAGTCCACTGTATTCAACCCATACAAGTTAACGTATGTTTGTTTGGGTACGTTTATGGTTTCCAATATGTCCACACCCATGTAAACGTATTAAACATGTTGTATCGATTAACATATACGTATACTGATGTCGATTCCATAAGTTTATGTGATGTGAAAATCTTCATGTTAGTGTACCAATTGTATGTATTGTTAATTTGTTCTCGACCGTGACATGCATGAAATATTTGCCACTGGAAGTTAGGCAACCAAACATCAATCATCTAAAATTGTCCGTTCATAAATTAAAAAATCATGAAGAAACTAAGGTTTCAACTCCCTCAGGCAAAGTTGACCATAGATGGATTTGCTATTTTTAGGTCCGTTTTGGTCATATAGCTCTTCAACGATTTCGGTTTTTCTACATCCTCGGCTTTCAAATATTCAGCTTTGAACGTTCCGGATGTAGTTTAATCTAGAAAAGCGCTTCGGACGCATGGAATTTATAAAGTATTGTTTTCATTTTTTATTTGATATTTCATTTAATTCGATTCAAAGGTGGATTTTATATGTGTTTTTTTTTTTTGTTTTTTTTTTTATTGTTATTGAAATTTTATTTTTTGGAGGGGAAGCCTTTTTTTGTAGAATATTTGTGTTTTTATTGATTTTTTTCTGATTTTTCACTGCTGTTCCATATTTTTCTTACCCTATTTTTAAATCTCAGGGGTTCGCCACTGTAATATATATCAATCATAAAATATTATTGACTTTATAAAACAAAGGTAGCATGAAATGAAATTGAAAAGATTATGAGTCCCCTGTACTCAGTAATAAAGACCGTTTTAAAAAGCACCCAGTGTATTCTTATATGTTACCAGCCATGACATTTTCAGACTTATGGAGGCACTAGGGTCAAAATGAGTTTTTTGCATTTTTATGAAGTATACATAGATTCAAGACGCTCTGACAAGTAATTTTGCTAGAATCAGCAAAATAACAGAATAATGGTCATTTTTGTTACTTTCGATTTTATTAAAAAAAATGATATTTTTTTAAATTATCACACCTATTATAAACAGTTTCTTGGATTAATTTGCACTTCTCATGAGTGCAAATTAGAACCACATTTTTTTAACGGTAGAATCATCAAACTTGATAATAATGTACCTCTGGGGACAGGTAAAACGATACAATTTTTCTTTTGGTGCAGCTCGCCTAGTTCGGCAATACGAGTGAAAACAGCGACAAAATATAGTAGGATTTTCAAAAATAATGTTAAATCCTATGGGATTTTTTTTATCCTATAGGATTATCACGAAAGACTTTTTCTCAAAAACAAATGTCCCTTAGGATTATTTTTTCTCGTAAGGAATTTATTTTGTCCTGTGGGATTTTTTTTTCTCCCGTAGGATAATTTTTCTCCTTTTTTCTCTAATAGGATATTTTTTCTCCTACAGGATTTTTTTCTCTCCCTTAGGAGAAATTATGTCATGTAAGATTTTTATGTTCTCCCTTAGGATGAATTTTGTCCTATAGGATTTTTTTTCTGGTCGCAATTTTTATATGTGTGTATGCAAAACAAATGATGTATATATATATCCGGATATGGTGTACAGATTTTTGCACCTCATGTTTGCGGTATAACATCTTTTCCGCAAGTTTATTGTTTTCTGTTTGGTATTAAATTATTAGTTAAGATCCATTTTGTTACATCTGGTGATCCGTTTATTTGGCAATCGCCAATGGCAGTCAGCAGGGTTTAAGAACATCCGTTGATCGACTTTCTAGTCAAATGTGTTTTGTTAAAATATACTTTTTTACTTTTTTGGTCTTTTGGAAAATGTTGTTTGTGCTGTGTTTAGACCCCTCTACCATGAAATTTGTTTTGCATGCACACGGATAAAAATTGGGTTTTTATCCAACGCAATCATAGGTTTGAACGTTGTTTTCAATTTAGACTTGTATCTATACATCATGTACATTCTTAAAACACATTTTCT